AAAAATGGAGTTTTGTGTAAAGAATGCATTGAGAAATGGTAGATGTATATAACTTTTTCCTTAAAATGGAATTTATCCCAAACAAGATAGATTCCAAATCCCAAAAAATCACAACTTTGTCATTTGCCATATATAAATTCCAAATCCTTTGTCAGATTTTACAAACCAAACAAAATTTTACATGATTGATTCCAAATCCCACAAAAAGAGTCCACAAGGAAAACACAAACACACCCTAAGCTGTAACATTTAGTACAAAAACAAAATCCTTTTCAGTGTCAAAGGCACATTGTGTGTGTGTGTGTGTATGATGAAAAGAAAATATATATATATAAAAGATAAAAATTTCATTTGAGTTTATGGGAAATCTTTATGTAACTCAAGAATCGATTAAGTGCCTTGCCACTATCGATGGCATCCCTGGCTCTATCAAGGGCAGTTGACACATCTTCTGCACCCGAGCATCCAAGTAGATGATCTGTCATTCCGGCGTTTAATACAATCCGATCATACGCGGGCCCCTTTTCTCCACGTAACGCATCTAACCCCAATTCTATGTTTTTCGAAACCTTAAAAAAAAAAAAAAAATCATTTTGATATTAAATTTCACTGCATTCCTTATCATGTCAACCAAATAGTTAAAATCAAGAGATGAAATTCTTACAGATCTATCTGTTCTTGGAGTTTCCGAGGGTTCGAAACCATATTCATTTGCATCCACTATTAACGAAAAACTCTCACGTGACACTCCTGTCAAAATTAAAATATCATTAAATAAGAAATAATAATAATAATAATAAATAATAATAATTTTATGTAGTTACCATCCACATCATAATGTGGTGGGGTGTTGAGTGAACGAAAACCAGAACAGTAGTTGACAGGAAGCCCTTTTGATGCATTAATCGATCGCATTTTCATTGTCATTGAAAGCGCCCCTTCTTCCCCCTACATTTTTAAATTAAACTTAATAACTTCTTTTTTTTAAATATTTCTTTTTTAAAATTATACATACCTTCACCACCAAACCAGCATGAACACCTCTTCGTCTCATGAGCATTAAAAGTGGTTCTTCATAACCTTCATGGTAGAATCCTGCAACCATTGCTTCTTTACCTGTAGCCTGTAATATATTTAAAAAAAAAAAAAAGAAAGAAAGGTGTTATATAATATAAGGGATCCACATGATTTTAAATGAAAATGATAACTTACCCTCACAAATTGCTGAACCTTCTCGGTTGTTGCCAGTGGTGGACGTTTCTTTATATGTTCCCTCATTTCAATGAGCGAATATCTGAACAAACGTATAAATCGAGAGTCAGGAGATGAAACAGAAAAGGGCAAAATGGTCATTTTCACAAATGTAACAGTTAGATGTGCCAAAATGAAAAAAAAAAAATAACATGATGCAATCTTGCTATATATATTGCATTGGCATTGACTAAAAATGTTAAACAAGGGGAAAATGATCATTTTCAAAAAAAAAAAAAGTTGTTACATTTGATGACTAAGGGACCAAAAACAATATGAAACAATGACATAGGGACTGAAAGTGAAAAAAAAAAAGATTCCTTTATGGACCAAAGATTAAAATACAGCCAATTACAGGGACCAAAAATGATTTTTATTGTTGCATTGGAATTGAATTCACTGGATTCTGATTTTTTCTTCATTCATTGAATTTAAAAAAATATATATATTTTTTATGTCTGCTTACAAAGAGGGGCGAGCTTCACGTTGACTCACATAAGCAAAGCCAACTGCTTCATCCTGAAGACACAAATTTTAAAAGTAACATAACATAAAAAAACAGAGAAGCAATGTAATTGAAAATAAAATGTAAAAACAACAATAATAAAGACCTCAAGAAGCGTTTTAGCTTGCAATGGTGTTATACAAGTATTTGCTCCCATGAATTTTAGCATTTGCTCCTCAGTTATGCCACCCTGTGCACATGATAAGCCAATTAATATGATTGATTTTTTATATGGAAAACTTTTATTCGAAATCACACCTCTTATATCCACATAATGTTAATGTTTGGTATTATTACAAAGTCAAGAAAAAAAAAAAAAAAAAAAAAAAAAAAAAAAAAACCTTGGGTGGCATCCAATCAACACCATGGAGAAGAGATGCTTCATTGTAACAAGATCTTACAGCAGCAACAAAGAGTGTGCTCCTAAAGAAACGTGTGTTTCCATCATAAGGTTCACCATAATGAGTCAATGATCTAACATCAGCTATTGGAACAGGACCTAAAGATTTAATCAAAATAATAATAACATTAAACATAAAATATTTAAATTTATATAATCTTTTCAATTACCCACTTTATTAATCAGTACCAAGCTCATCATCAAATGCAAGGCAGTATGCTTTAAGCTCACGATCTGTCTCCCTGTTCATTCTTTGACCTATCAAGAATGCTGATAGTAGAGACTCACTTACAGTGTCATGTTCCAATAAAGGAAGAACATCTTTTAAAACACCTTGAACCTCTTCATACCCAAGATGCCCACCTGCTAAAACTTCCCTTAGGGCACCCACAAGTCTCATTTCATGACTCCCATTGCCAACATATTGTGGCCCAATTGAACTCCCGAGTCTCATTATGGAACCTTCTGGATCTGCTAGAAAGATTATGTCTGAAGGAAGGGTTCGAACTAAATGAGGCCAATATGCATCCATTGCACGTCTTTCACCTTCACTCCATTGAGTTGCTTCTGGAAATGTATTTGCACGAATTGTCATGGCTGCAAAGAAGGCTCCTAGTTGAGCTTTTGATACCTGTTCTTCATCTTTTAGGTCTCCCTTTGCTGACATAAGCATAAGGTTAATACATGAATCACTTAAATACTCCTAACTCCATTTCAGTTTGAGGTTAATGGATGAAAGTGGAAAAACAGGCAGGTTTAATAACTTCAAAGAAATTCAAACATGGAAGTATTGTAATACTCATTGGACACCCTAAAATTTGAATTTGTTTCATGACTAGGAGGGTTACAATCAAATTCACCATATTCTTTTTATAATACTTGGATCTTATTGATTATGTTGTGATTGAATGCATCTGAAATCTGAAGAACTAAATGTCAATCTGAAGTCAAAAATTAAACCATTTGATCTCAAAAATGAAACTATGTCCGGAAACGGGCTAGCATCTACTCATCTAGTGACTAATCGCTTCATTTGAGTTTAATTGAACTGATACAACGCAAGAATTGAAAGATATAATGTTCATGAAATTAAGCAAGCTTTATAATCTAATCATAGAAACTAACACACTCAAAGAGTAAGCGGAAAATATTTTACCAGATCGTAGTATAGTATCTAAAACTTTGAAAGCTTGTGCTTCTGTAAGTGGTTTGGTTTGTGTTGGCCCTGTACAAACCCTGGTCTGAGCTTCTAACACCGTCGGGTTAGGTTTCCTATCCCTCTGACTCCGAAACGAAGTTGACAATGTAGGATTTCGTGCATCTGATTCAGTAAGTCCATAATACTGATCAACTGAAGCTGAATCAACCACGGAATTGACGGTTAATTGGCGTTTCTGTTGTCGGGATAAGAGAAATTTTGCACCGTTTGCTCGGGGAAACTGTAAATACGCTCGACTGTTGGATTCAATCGATGAGGATTTGATTCCAGACGAACGGTTGATTGAGGGGATTGTGTTGTGGAGCAGGGATTTCATGGCGATCTTAGGAACTTTGCTTGAAATTTGGAGACGAATACATGAAATCGGAACTTATGAACGTGAAAATGAGTTGAAAGTTGAAACCAGAGAAAAAAAAGGCGGATATATCAACGTAAGGAAGTGGAAAGATTGAATATTGTATATGGAATTGTGCCTCTTGGATAATAAATAAATAATCATAATTGATAAGATAAGAATAAAGCAACACTAAACATTTGTTTATTGAAATGCATTAACTTTATAAACAATATTATTATATTATTTTAGCCATGAAACTATGGGGGTGCTGTTGTTATTGGCATCTAAAACCACTTTTAAAAAAGTCAAAACCGTTATTATATGGAGTCAAAACCATTAGATAAATAAATTTTCCATTCAATGAGTCTCCAAAAGACCAAAACCCATTACAATAAAAATTTTACTACTTAGTCCTTTACTTTATAGGGAAAATAACATTCGAGGATAATAAAATGTTTGTCTTGTATTCATTAGGTTCATTATTTTTTTTTTCTTTATTATACCATTGAACTTAATATTCATGCTCACCAAAACCATCGCGACCGGATATCACATGTTTTATCGGTTACCACATTTAATTAGAGATGACTAAACAACACTAAACATTTGTTTATTGAAATGCATTAACTTTATAAACAATATTATTATATTATTTTAGCCATGAAACTATGGGGGTGCTGTTGTTATTGGCATCTAAAACCACTTTTAAAAAAGTCAAAACCGTTATTATATGGAGTCAAAACCATTAGATAAATAAATTTTCCATTCAATGAGTCTCCAAAAGACCAAAACCCATTACAATAAAAATTTTACTACTTAGTCCTTTACTTTATAGGGAAAATAACATTCGAGGATAATAAAATGTTTGTCTTGTATTCATTAGGTTCATTATTTTTTTTTTCTTTATTATACCATTGAACTTAATATTCATGCTCACCAAAACCATCGCGACCGGATATCACATGTTTTATCGGTTACCACATTTAATTAGAGATGACATGTCATTTTACGTGGAAATAGAACACATTTCATACATGTTTCTCTTTCACCCCCTTTCTCCTTACAGTTAGGGTTCGGTAAATTGAAGAAAACAGTTTAATCGAAGAATACGGTTACGAAATTGAAGAGAACTGGCGAATGCGAGTGTTATAGTGAAGAAGATGACCTCGATTCCAAACAATGTAAGTATTTGACAGTTTATATTCATTATAATGGTTTATTCACACAAAAACCATTAGTGTACTTGAACGTTGTTGTTGTTTCAATCTGTGATGTCGATTTTGGTTCAATGGATCTCAAAGAGTTTAAGTTGTTCATTGCAAAGTTGATTGAAGGCAGTTGCGATAATGTATATTACTGCACTAGAAATGAACCATTGGCAGAGGGTATTAAGAGAATTAGGAATGATGCTGACTACTTTGAGTTTATTGAAACGGGTTATAGTGATGAAGGTGTTCTAAGAATGAATGTGTATATAGACCACGAAAATGAACCTGTACTTGATTGAGCTGATATGGAAGTAGTAGAAGATGATGAAGGGCATTATTCTGAGGAAGACCCGAATGATGATAATGATTCACAACTTTTTGATGATATTCCATATGAGCATGAAGCAGATGATTACATTCCTTCTCTTGACAAGACTATTGGTGATGAATTCTTACATCGGGTGTCAGGTATGTGTAAGGATATAAATGATGAGGTTGAAACCAAGAATGGGGATGACAAACCAGTGTACCCTGTCCATAATGAGAACCATAAATGGGACAAGATGGTGCCAGTTCTAGGTATTAGATTCTCTAACCCCATGGAATTGAAAATTTGTTTGACTAACTATGCAGTGAAGAATGGGTATAACCTTTATTTCGAGAAAAATGATAGTCAGAGGTTATTAGTGAGATGTTGCAAAGATAACAAGAACCCCTCTTGTCCTTTTAGATTGTGGGCTTCCTGGATGAGTAGTGAAAGGTCTTTCCAGATTAAGTCTTTAGTTGATGACCATAACTGTTCAATAGTCTTCAAACTTGGTTCCATTGTAACATATAAATGGATTGGAAAACATTTTAAGAATAAACTTTTGAAGAACCCCAAAATGAGCATAAGGAAAATGAAAGCCAAAGTAAGTACAAAGTTTAACTTGATTGTTAGTGTCAGTCAATGTAAAAATGATCCAAGGTTCGAACCTTGAACCTCCTTTATGGAATTTCGTAACTACAACTCCCATTGCCGAGGGAAATTTCGAATAATTTAAGGGGTAAAAAAAGATATTTTTATGCTTATAATTTTATAAACGGTGTTTCTCAATCATCTAAAATTTGTTTAAAATGTCAAAAATCAAAACCTTTCTTAAAAAGTTTCGACCATTGTATCGAAAAAAATAAAAATTATGGATAACAACGTTAAATTTCTACTACATCAATGAGCGTTTTGAGACCGAATAAAAAATTCTCTTATTCTAGAAAAAAAATACTTCTAAAACCTACCTAATCTGATAAATCGGATTTAAGCAAATATGGTTTTCCTTAGTTTGAATATTGATTGGATTTCAGATTTAAAGAAAAAAAAGTTTATGTCTATATCTGTGCCTACGTGGTAAGAAGCCTAAGCCCTAGAGTATAGATGCACATTGGCGTCCCAAACTGGTTTCAGGTCGGTCTCAAAACTGTCTGGTCTTTTTAGGACTGATCTCGGAACAGAACGGTCTGGTCTTCTTTTGAACCGCTCTCAGATGATCTCGGACTGATATTTTTCAGTCTGACTTTTTCCTAACTAGTTCTTTTCGACTTGGTCTTTTTGGGACCGATCTCAGTATTTTTCAATTCGGTTTCACAGTCTTTGCATTCTTCTTTTTCGGTTCGATTTTGGTTTTTTTATTTTTTTTTTTGGTTTTTTTCCCGTTAACATATGTATGATTAACACCAAAATTATACATTAAGATACAATAAAAATGATACACTAAAATTTAATAAAAAAAATGAAAGAAATCGAGTAATGTCATTAAAAAATGTGTAACTAACACAAAAATTGTATATACGGTATCAGGTCGATCCTGGACTTGTTTCACGTTGGTCTTGGAACGATCCGGTCTTTTTTGGGACAAGTTTCAGAACAATCAATTCTTTTTTTGAACCGATCCTGCATGGTATTGGGTTGGTTCATATTTTTCGACCCGTTATCATTTTAGAATGATTCGGTCTTGATTTGTTTTCAAAACCGGTCTGATGAAACTGGTCTTTTAATTCATGTCTACCGAAAGTATTATTTAACCTTTTTCATTCATTCATCGAGTTGTTTATTACAAAACGACTAATTACACATGTCACATGTGTATTTTGCCTTCCTTTGCTCCTTAGACTTCTAAGTGGGCTTGGTAAAATGGGCTTGTGTGTTTCACCAGGCGACCCAATAGGCAGCCCGCTGCAACCGATTTGCAATTTAGCACAGCGCAGCGTCAAAAGTAGACTCCATAACCAGAAGCTCATCAGCCTTAAATTCCATTTAAACACAAATTCATACGGATCGCACCTCGAAATCGTCTCTAGAATCTGAGTCAGTTCTATCGGAATGTTATAGACAAGTAATGGCTCATTGATTCCCAGAAAAAATCATTTCATTTGGCAGCAGATCGATCAGAAAGTAGATCTTAAATCGAAACCAATATCATACATCAATACGGATCTGATCTATCGGTTTTGAGTAATTGATGGCAGGGGCGGCCTCTGCGCTGTTCCTTCTCGACATCAAAGGCCGTGTTCTTGTATGGCGTGACTACCGTGGCGATGTCTCCGCAGTTCAGGCCGAGCGTTTCTTTTCTAAACTGATAGAAAAAGAGGTTTTTCCGTTACCTCAATTCACATGCTGTCTTTTATTTGATTCTCTATTCGTTTAGCATCACAAGCGTTTATGCAAAAATTGAAGCAATATACCAGTATGCTGTTCACATTGTTAATTAAGATTATGTTTTAGTAGGTTTTGGATAAACGTCGTTTTATCTAGCAGCTGATCGATGCAAAACATATAAATCTTCTAAAAACCCACAAGTTTATTGAATCTGTTCCATTATATTCTTCTTCATCTCGTTTAATATATAGTGTAGGCGAAATTAAAGGAATAGCGTTTCATCTGGATTGGTTAGTTTAGAATTGAAATTAAACCCCGATCAAAATGAAGAAGTCGAATTCTGATTTTATTCAGATCGAATTGGATAAGTCTTGCTTGAAGCACTGTTATCCAAGTGATCTTATACTGTTATACACCTATGGTTGTTGTGTATGCAAGCAAATTAGCAATGACTAATTAATTAGTTTATGGTGTATTGACTAACTTCAGGGTGAACCAGATGCTCAAGATCCTGTTGTGTATGATAATGGCGTCACCTATATGTTCGTACAACACAACAATGTATATCTAATGACTGCATCCAGGCAGAACTGTAATGCAGCTAGCCTTCTCCTCTTTCTACACCGTGTAGTTGATGTAAGCACCATTCAGTAATCACTAATGAAATAAAATAGCTTTCATTTCTTTCACTATAATTCAAGAAAGACATAGTTAATGTTAATATCCTTACAAGACATGAAACTTTACGTATGAAGTTCTTTATTTGTGTTGGCTACAGGTATTTAAGCATTACTTTGAGGAGCTAGAGGAGGAATCACTTAGAGATAACTTTGTTGTTGTGGTATGTGTATTTTACTACAATATCTGATCTCACCAAATATTATAAGAAGGAAAAGTGAATGATTTTTGTACTTTGTAGTATGAGTTGCTTGATGAAATGATGGACTTTGGTTACCCTCAATACACTGAAGCTAAAATTCTGAGTGAGTTTATCAAGACAGATGCTTACAGGATGGAAGTTTCACAGAGGCCTCCAATGGCTGTCACAAATGCTGTCTCATGGCGTAGTGAAGGGATACGATACAAAAAGAATGAGGTAGGTGTTGCTGTTGTGAGGGCAGATATGTAATTATCTTAGAATAAAACCTTGATTGCATTTTTCAGGTGTTTTTGGATGTTGTGGAGAGTGTGAATATACTTGTCAACAGCAATGGTCAAATCGTAAGGTCAGAGGTTGTTGGGGCATTGAAGATGCGAACTTATTTGAGGTATAGTGGTCTTTTGCTACTTCTTGAGGTTGAGGGTATATTTTGTAATTAAGTTAAAGAATGAGGGTTGATTTGTTGCAGTGGTATGCCAGAGTGTAAGCTTGGTTTGAATGATAGAGTATTATTGGAGGCACAAGGAAGATCCACAAAAGGAAAAGCTATCGACTTGGATGACATCAAGTTTCATCAGTATGTTATGTTCTAAGTTCTTCAACCTTTCTTGATTTCTTCCTATATTTTCTTCAACTATATGTTTATTTATTTAATATTTTTTAATGTTTAATAGGTGTGTTCGGTTGGCTCGTTTTGAAAATGATCGCACAATTTCATTTGTGCCCCCTGATGGAGCTTTTGACCTCATGACATATCGACTCAGTACTCAGGTTCTTACACTTTATATATGTAAATATAAATATAAATTGCTTTTTATTTATATAAATTGAATAAAACTAATATTTGATTTGATTTGATTTGATTTGACAGGTAAAGCCTCTGATATGGGTGGAAGCTCAAATCGAAAGGCATTCAAGAAGTCGTATGGAAATAACAATCAAAGCCCGCAGCCAGTTTAAGGAGAGGAGGTATTAATATTATTATTATTATATATAAGTTGTTCCAGTTATTTATGACTTCAAAAAGAAAAAAAGAAAAAAGTGTAGTTATGGATGGTTTGACCAGAAGTGTTGACTTTGCAGCACTGCAACAAATGTTGAAATTGAATTTCCAGTGCCTGCGGATGCCACTAATCCAAATGTACGGACATCCATGGGATCAGCTGCATATGCACCAGAAAACGATGCCCTTTGCTGGAAAATTAAATCATTTCCAGGTGGCAAGGTATTTTTTTTTTCTTTTTCTTTTTCTTCTTTTTCTCACAATATCTTCACAAATTCAAGATTTTTGATTTTTTAATTTTAGGAATACATGTTGAGAGCGGAATTCAGACTTCCAAGTATAACAGCTGAAGAAGCAGCCCCTGAGAGAAAAGCTCCTATTCGTGTGAAGTTTGAGATACCATATTTCACAGTTTCAGGAATACAGGTGACACCTCATCACTTCCCCCTTTGCATTTCGATTGATCATTTTTCATTATTGTTTGTTTTTACTTTTTATTATAGGTGCGTTATCTAAAGATCATTGAGAAAAGTGGGTATCAGGCTCTACCATGGGTGAGATATATAACAATGGCTGGAGAATATGAACTAAGACTTGTGTGAAAAAAGCTCTTATTATTATTATTTCAACAAACTGTTTTTGTATTCAAGTCCCAATTATTATCTTCGGATATTATTATAATATCATTTGTTTGTTGAACGAAAGTTCACTCCCCCAGCCTCCATTTTTTTTTTCTTCTTTTTGTACTTGTAGAAAGATGTTTGTTATTTTTACCTACAAAACATTAAATTTTTCCATGCACTTTTGAAATATAATATTCATCTTTTGTTCTACAAGTCCACAATAGAAATCTTCGCATTTTGCAAAATGAGTGTCATATATTATGAAAAACAAAAAGATAAATCAAAGTTAAACACAAAAAATGGTACAAAGAATGTCTAAGTAGGACAAATTCTACACTATCATGGAAAACTCATCTTTAAAAGGAACCAACCTCTCATTCAATGTTCATTGTATTGGGTAACAGAAGTTACGTATCTACACTTTTTACCTTATGTGTATGTTCAAACCCAACCCATCCCATCCCAACGTATTTCTCTCCTCCCATTATATTTGGTGGTAAAATCACCCGTGTATGTGGTGAGGTATTTCCTCTTTCTAAATTGGTGAAATTATCTCATCTCATGCTCTTTCATCTTCATTTTCTGCTGTACAAGTCGCAGCTTTTTCCTGTTAAGTTGAAGCACACTAATCATTAGAACGAGTTACATACTAATAATGTGCAAAAAGACGTAAATGCCCTACTCCTAATAGAAAAATGTCTAGTCTAGTCATGGTAAGCTTGCTTGCAAAGAAAAAGCAAGGATAATGGAAAATTTGTAAATTCCAACCCAAAAGGAAACAATGAGAAGACATTGGTGGCTACCTACCTTTTCAATGCTGCTGCTATTGTATTCCATCGAAGTTTTCTCAGCTTGATTGGAATCAGAAGACGTAACATTTCCATTAAGAGACTTGATGGAATCGGAATCGGAATCAGCTTTTTCATGATCTACTTTCGTGTCTGTGTCTGTGTCTCCCTTGATGGCTTCCTTTGTTAATGAAATCTGTTTAGCTTTTTCCGCTTCCTTTTGTTGTTTCTTCCTTGCTTCTTGTTCCTTTAACTGTTTAAATCTGGAAATTGTCCAAAGAATTTAACAAACAAACAAACAAACAACGCATCCAAATCCTAATACTCAAAAACTGTTGTCAGAAGAAAAGAATAAACAAGGGCAAATTTGTAAAAAGTTCAAACCTAATTTCCCAGATTTCCTCTGTTTCTCAACTATTTTTTTAGGAAACAGTGTGCTACTAACCTCTCACCAGGGAGATACCCTTGTGCATCAGGCTTCTCTATTTTAGGTGCTTTAACTGATGTTGTTTGCATTTGCAACAATGATTCCTCAACCTTGGGCTTATCTTCTTTAAGAGCTTCATAATTAATTTTTTTTATTGCTGGATTATTTGCACCCCCCATTTTTTGAAGCCATATTTGTTGTGCACTACTTAATATATTGTTTGTCAGCCTGCAACAAATATATCTCAACTTACATTCATAAACATATCACCAAAAATATTAACAATTTTTTTTTTTTTTTTGTCTATATTAAAATACCAGTAAAGGCTTAGACCAGAAGGCACTGAAAGTGCAAAATAACCAATCATCAATGGCAGGAATTTGGTTATGGCTTGAGAAGTCTTCATATTTGGATCATTGCTCTGAAATTATAAACACCATAAATAAACACCTAAATAGTAAATAATCCACTTATTTATTCAAGTTACTTCTGTCTTTTTCCCATTTAATTAATAATGTTGAAACAAATATTGAGATAATGAAAGCACACAAACGAGGGTAAATTTGTAAAAGCTAAAAAGTTTGTGTATTCAGTCAAAAAAGAAACGTTTATTATATTAGATTCATAAACTTGTATGGATAAAGTGGTTGAATGGGTAAATGACAATTTTACCCTTCGGTAGAAGACCTAACCTGTGGTTGTGTTGACTGCATGATCTGAACAGATATGTATTGAGAAACCACAAGGAGCACAGGCAACACAAGATATGCAGCTGTATCTGACCACCCAAGTGGAGGTTGACCATCCTGCAAAAGTTATTACTATTTTCTAGTTAACTTTAGAAAATAAAATCATAATTCAAAAAAAAAAAATTGTGAATTATTTTTTGTTTTTTAAAAATCCAATAAAAAGGTGATAGTATTAGTAACACTTTACAATGAAAGGGAAGAGCCAAGAAATGCCACTGCCACTTTGTCTAGCAGCAACCGTTGTGGGGCCAGCAAGGGATGGAATCCAAAAGAAAGCTTCAGCCAGAAGTCCCTACGAAAACCATTTCACATAATTTATTTATAGATATTATTATTTATGTAAAAAAAATATAATAATAATAATAATAATAGAGTTACAGTTAGTTAGTTACCTCATCTGCAACATTTGATAGGGCTCTATATAGACCAATCCAAACGGGTATTGTGGCTAGGGTTGGCAAGCATCCTGTTATGCCATTCACAGCATAATAGAGTGTAAGCTATTTTTTATGATGAAGATGAAGAGGGCATTTATGTCTTTTGCACAGATGAGTTAAGAAGCTTGAAATATAAAATATAAATACCTGCCAAGGGATTTATCCCTGCAAGTTTGTACAATCTTGCAGTTTCAAGCTGAAGGCGCTCCTGCAAACCCATGAAATATATTTAAACTTAAAAAAAAATGCAAAATGAGGAACATGTTTTTGAGGGTTTAGGGTTTTAGGGAATTAAGCATTCCATAAGGAGCGTGATTCATTTCATTTTTTTTTTCATTTTGTGATCGAATGGAATGATATGTTACAACTATAAATTTACTTTATATATATATATATATATATATAATATATATATATATATATATATATATATATATATATATATATATCCTTCAATGACCTTTAAGAAATTACAGAACTTTAATTATATTATTATTATTATTTTGAATAACTATATGGATTTTCATATTATAGTTCTACTTTAAGATTTCATGCTATCTTATTCAATTAAAATTATAATCTTGGCAAACAAATTTTTTTAAGTTATAAATAAAAGTTTCTTTTACTATTTGAAATATATATAAATATATAACATAAACATGAAATATGTTTATACATAACTTATAGTGGTATATCTTAATTGATTAAAATTTGTTTTTATAATATAATGAATTATGCATAACAACAATCCGTTTGAATGACCAATTCCATTCCTTCAATCCAACAAACCATGATAATGGAATGTAATCACCCATTCCATTTCTTCATCAACTCCATTCCATAATGTATTCAGCACTTATTTCTCTAAAGTTTAAATAAATAGTTCAAAGTCTAGGCCTTTAATATCCTCTCCACTTAAGTTATATTTTGCATCATTTTTGGCAGGAGAACAGGAAATAAAATAGGACAGGATTTGTAACCTGATCACCAGCATACCGTTCCTGAATAGCCTTTATTTGAGGTTGCAAAGATCGCATTGCCATTGCAGATTCCACCTTCATTGAAGTTTTAAAATATTTATTTTTATTCAAGAAGATGACATTTTTCACATGCTATTGAGGTTTTCATTGAACGAGTATCGATGCAACAAACCTGCTTTTTTGACAGAGGAAATGTTGCAGCCTTCACAAGAACAGTAAGGAGTATAATAGCAAAACCATATGAATATGGAACATGGAGCGTAGAGAGACCATCCTTCAAAAACTGAAATGAAAAAAGTTCCATGTTCACACAACAATAATGGTAATAACAATAATAACTATTATATTGCAAACCTTGAGAACAGTTTCCATGTAATTAGTGATTCCAGAGAGCCAATCATTACTCTGTTTGGTTCCAACGTTCGTGGTGATACCAGAATCAGGAGTAGCAGAAACAATAGCGTCAGCAATCGTATACATGATACCTTCAGCTCTATCAATCAGGTCTTTGAAGTTTTCCGGGTCAGGAAACTGAACCTGCCCAGGCCCGAACCTAGCCACCGTTAGGGTGGTGCCACGAAGAAAGGGTTTATGATGTTTGGTTAAATTCGCAAATTGGGTTCTTGGGAGAATTGGGTTTATGGTTTTGAATCTGGTGGAGTCTGGAAAGGGGGAAAGCACTGTGCTTGACCCGATTTGAATCAAATTCGCCATTTGTTGTTGAATTAGGGTTTATTGGTTATTGTTGAAACCCTAGAAATTAATAGGGTACAGAAGGCTGTATCAGGGGTGTTGACTGGTCTGAGTATCTTGGCCCTTGGGTGTAGGATTCAAGAACAGGGGAAAGATTGCAAGAGGATGAGTGAATGAGAGCAAATATAAAGGGTAGAACGAAAGGAACGAAAACTACGACCCCTGAGTCGTGACCAAATGTAACACTATAAGTCTATAATGTAAGAGGGTTATAGGTTTCAATAGGGTAAACAAACTTAATGGCTCCACTTAGATTTTGGGTGCTACTATGGCTTAATGGTAAATTCACCATGCCACACTTTCCACAGCGAAGACACTCTCCTCACCTCCTTTCCAATTTTCTTTGGCTTAAGAGGCGTGACATGACAAATATGGCTAATTTCCCACTCAATCAAATGAAATAAATAGAATGTCTAACCGAATGTTGTGATTATAATTGAGATATGAATTTAGACACAAACTTTCAATATTGTGATTATAATTGAGATATGAATTTTGATACGAATTCTGCTATTCAGAAGTATAAATTTCAACAGAAGAAAGTTTTGAAAGTTACACAAAATAACTCTACTTTATTCATAATGGGCAATACCCTTATTTATATACGTATATAAACTATTCCAGAGTCTCTTACACATATAATTACAAATAACCTTTAACATTCTCATGTTTTGACAAATGACAAACTTACATTATTACAAACTATTATTATAAGTTATTATTTTACTCACATTATTATAAACGCATTGTGAACAAAAAGACTTAAATCACTCACATTATTAAAAACGACAATAGGTATTATATAATATGTATTTTATAATTGTCTTCGAACATTAATGCTTACAAATTCTCTTTTGTTGTTATTCATCCATACACGTACAAAACTACTGTTTCAAACACGATACAATTATTATTATCTATAAAAAATGTAATAGTTATAAGATATTGTTTTATGTCCATTATATAATACTAAGTATCAAATATATAATACTCAACGATGCATAATAGCATCAAATATATGTCTTATGTAATAATGTAAAATTAGGTATATGTCTAGTATAGATATTTGACTAACAATAATTAGTTTGTTTGTCATTTGTAAAATATTGCCTATATAAGGATCATTGATCCTATGAAATAAAGCATAATGAAAATTTATGAAATGAGTTTACTTTGAAGTTTATATGTTAAGTTTTAAACTTCTGAATAGTAGATTATAGGGTTTTTGACACTGTAACACATCAATGTTTGGTTAATTTGCACATTTAATCATTTAAGTTTTTTTTGTGCTCAATTGATCCTTAATGTTAGTAACTACCGGCTAATTACCCCCTTATGCACCCGGTAAACGGAACAACCGGTGATATTGCTTACGTGGAATAAGTTTACATAATATAATTCATTTATTTTATCCATGTAGGATTTGGAGTTCAAAATAAACACATTTATTTAGCTAGAACACTCCTCATTCGTTCTTTCTTTTTCTCATCTTACAGTGAATACGAAGCACTAAACCTAGGGTTCGAAGTCGTTTTCTCCGATCGAAGTCAGTGAGCAGTCAACCAACCCACAATGTCTATCTCGATGCCAAACCCTGATGGACTCTACCCTATAGTGGAGCTGAACTTCAAAGGTATTTTTCTTAGAAATCCTTTCTCGTATAACCATGGTATCAATTTCACTTTCAATGA